GACGTAATCAGATTATTTTAAACTGAAAGACGTAATCAGATTATTTTGTATCGATAAAGTGATCAAATACTGACGGATCACAGCCACAAACAAACAAACAAACAAACAAACGTGTAATCTGCAGTTGGGCTTTGGTTCCGCTCGGCGTACCTGTGACCAAACAGAGCGAACGGTTTGTCTCTCAGCAGCGGCAGCAGCGCAGCGACAACTTCGTCCACGAGCTGCTGCATGTTCTCGAAGAACGGTTCTCCGGCTCGGCTCTCCCTGCCCGGGAGTCGCACCGCCAGCACTGAGGAGGAACAGAACCCAGAACCAGAACCATCAGGCACAGATCAGCTCGCACCTCCATGAGAACGGTTCTGTTGCGTTCTGGAGCTGTGTGCCAACACAACGCCAAGATGGAAGGACATCAGCAATGACCTCAGAGAAGCAACTTTTTCCTTAAAGACCCGACGTTCTTGCATCTGAAACAGCTTCTTATGGTCCGGTCTCACAGATCCACGACCCGCTTCTGCTCCACTCGAGTCGTGGGTTTTCATTAAACCTGAGCCCCGCCTCCATGTGGGCGGGGTCAGCGTGGACAGCAGCACAACACGAGCGAAAAAGTCACGGAAAGTGCCGAAGTCTCACCGGCTCCGACACGGGTTTTAAAAACGCCGTGATCGAGCCGACCTGCGCACGTCGCCACGTTCAGGCTCTCAGCAGAGCGGGCCTTGAGAACCCCAACGGGCCTTCAGAACCCGAACGGGCCTTCAGAACCCGAACGGGCCATCAGAACCCGAACGGGCCATCAGAACCTGCAGGACCTTTATTATGAAAGGTGCAGGTCCAACGCTGAGAAGATGCTGAAACAACTCAACCCCCCCGGACATGCACTGCTCTACCTGCTGCCATCAGGCTGAAGGTTTCTCTGCCTGAGAGCGAACACAGAGAGGAGCAGCAGCAGGAGGAGCAGCAGGAGGAGGAGCAGCAGGAGCAGCAGCAGGAGGAGCAGCAGGAGGAGCAGCAGCAGGAGGAGGAGAAGCAGGAGGAGCAGCAGGAGGAGGAGCAGCAGCAGCAGGAGTAGCAGCAGGAGCAGCAGCAGCAGGAGGAGCAGCAGCAGGAGGAGCAGCAGGAGCAGCAGCAGGAGCTTCTTCCCTCAGACCTGCTGACTCTGAGCAGTAAAGTGTCAGATTTGCATCACATCCTGTTTGGGTTTGATTTGACTTTATTTTGTTTCTGCTTCGTCTCGACACATTTTCTGATCTAAGAAAACTTTTCTTGTGATTGTGACAAACGTTGATCTTTTCCAGCTACTGGATTAGAACCAGTTGTGTGGTTTCAACTGGCTGTGGCGGCCATCTTAAACAGGACTGTTCCAAATGTTGATCGACTCCCTGAGACTTTCATTAAAATCGATCCACTGAATCAGGAGATATTTTACTAACAGACAAGTTTCTGTCTGAGTTGATATTTTTAACAAACTGATGTCAAAACTTTAGTTTGGCTTTTTGAACTTTTTCTTTTAATTAAGTGTAAACAACTTTAAAATAGAAACAAATGATCAGACTCGAGTATAAAAATAATAATCCTGTTTATTTTTATTTTTTGTAACTAGACATTGTTAAAACTAAGCAAAAGTAATTAAAGGTTTAAACTTTTAAATCAAATTCACCTTAACTTAGGAAGTGTTTTATATCTCAGCGGTCTGAGTCTAAACTATAAATTACTCTTCAGAATTTAGGACATTTGTTTCTGTCTCAGGTCGTTTGAACATTTTCTGGTAAAAATCAGTTTTGTTGGTCCGGTTCTTTGTCGTGCTCTTATTTTGAAGGACAGAGCCCTGTCAGACTTCCTGTGAGACGGAACCAAGATGTCACGTGACCCACAGGTGCGTTACCTTCGATTAATTAATTTATTCAATTTATTTTACGAAAACTTGATTGATCAGAACAAGTACAAACGAGTGTGGCAGTTCACAGTAGCAGACTCAGAGATGGAAACATCAAAGAAAACCGATTTAAATAAAATCAGGTTAAATCAATAAACAACAACAAGGGGGTGTATTTTAGGATCGGTACCTTCAATGGAGCTGTTCAGGACGTTTCCCCAGCGCGAGTAATGGATGGAGCCTCCACCCGCCCACGGGAAGCAGATCAGCCTGACCGCAGCTTCCGGTCTCCACCGGAAGCAGCTGATCACCTTCTCCATCCCGACAGGAAGCAGCTGATCCAGATGTTTATCTTTTCATAAATAAAACTACAACCTGTCCTCAGAAAGTCCTGACTGTTGCTCCACCAGCTGCTCCTGTCCTGCTCCGTTTCTTCTGTGGCTCCTGGTCTGACAGAGGAGGCAGGAGACACCATCAGGCTGGAGGAGGAACTCCATCAGGAGGAACTCCATCAGGAGGAGGCAGCTGCTACAGCTCAGCTGCTGCTGCAGAGCTGAGAAACAGACAAGTTTTAAAGTCTGAAGCTGGGAGATGAACTTTTGACACGTCTACAACAGAATAACTGGATCAACTTGTGAAAACAGCGTGAACTCTAAATAGCTGCTGAAGTAGCTGAAAGTAAGCTACAGCTAAAAAAATAACAAAAGCTTAAAGTGCCAAAACATTAGCTAAAAGCTAAAGGTAGTGAACGGCTAACTTAAAGCTAAATTTAAGAAAACGTGAGCTAGAAGATAAGCAGTAAAACAAGCAGCAAAAGGCAACTAAAAGCTAAAAGCAGCCTAAAATGTAGGCGAAGTGTAGCTTAGAGCTCATTGCTGTAGAACACAGCTAGATGCTAATGATAGCAAAAGCTAAAAGTAACAAATAGAGCAACAACTAATAACAGTAATAAGAAAACAGGATTTTAATGAGGTTTCATGTTTTCATGCAGGACTCTGACGTCACGTGCGCAGCAGAACTGACGGGAGCTCCGCTTCCACGCGACCTTTTTTTATTCTTGTTGATTTTATTTGAACTTTTTTTTACACGTGCGCTGCACACCCACGCCACGGGTTAGTTCCCGGTACTGTTGACCTTGTGTTGATTTTACAGAAGACAAATAAACCAAACCTGACTGCATGAATTTTTCAGAAAATGCTGCTGATCTCATGCTGCTGATTATCCCATGCTCTGTATTCATTCATACCTTCTTCTCACCACGGACTCGTGTTCGGCTGCTGTTGTTTCACCGTATTGTTGTGCAATATTAGTGTCTAACGTATAGCTAAGTTTTAAATCATATTTATTTGATAGATTCCAATTTGTAAATGTAAATAATGAATCTTCATCAGGGCAGCACGGTGGCGCAACTGGTAGAGCTCAGCGAGAAGGTTGCTGGTTCAAATCCTGGTCCAGGGGCCTTTCTGGGTGTAGTTTGCATGTTCTCTCTGTGGGTTTTCTCCGGGTGCTCTCTGGTTTCCTCCCACAGACCAAAAACATGCATGTTAGGCTGATGGTAACTCTGAATTGTCTCTAGGTGTCCCTGTGATGGACTGGGGATCTGTCCAGGTGTCCCCTGTCCCTCGCACAGTGATGGCTGGACATGGGCACCGGCGACCCCCGTGACCCAAAATGGAAGAAGCGGGTTAAAGATGATGGACTTCTAACCTACAAAGCTCTCAACAACCTAGCTCCATCTTATTCATTCATTCAACCTTTATTTCTACAGGTTAGTCCCATTGAGCCTCGAGGACTCTTTTAAAACGGAGACCTGGTTTGAACAAAGAGTGATGACAACAACGACAACAACGACAACAATAAACAGTTATAAAAGAGGCATAGAGATTTTTTTCTTTTTAATACAAATAAGATGGCAAAAAAAACAGCTAGATTCTAAGGCAAACGTAGAAATCTAAAAACAGGAACATGTCAGCATTGGTCCCTGCCAGGAGTCCAACAGATTCTTAAAGACACTTAGAGAGGTCAAAGGTCGAGAGCTTCAGATCTTTTTACAAGATATTCCAGGAAACAGGAGCGGAATAGGAGAAGGTCCTTTTGTCTAGTTCAGTCCTCACTGAGGGAACACTGCAGGTAATGATGTCCTGAGAGCACACGCTGTAACTGCACTCACACAGAGACATGTAGGAGGAGATGTATGAAGGCAGCAGACCAGGAAGTGATTTAAAGATGAAAATGTACCAGTGGGAGAGTCTGTGTGAAGTTAATGGTGACCAGTTAACCAGTGAATACTGGGTGCAGTGGTGGGTACGATAGTTACAGATAGACAGCATCCATCTTATATTACAGATCTTATTGTTCCATATTTTCCTAACAGAGCACTTTGCTCTCAGACTGCAGGTTTACTTGTGGTTCCTAGAGTTTCCAAAAACAGAATGGGAGGAAGATCTTTCAGTTCTCAGGCTCCTCTCTTGTGGAACCAACTTCCAGTTTCTGTCCATGAGGCTGACACATTGTCCAGTTTGAAGACTGGGTATGATAAATCCTATAGTTAGGGTTGGTTTGGGTTTCCTGAGCTGTCCCTTAGTTATTGCTGCTATAGGCTTAGACTGCTGGAGGACAAACTGACCACATTTCCTCAAATTAATAGTTTGTATTTGTAATTATTTATATCTGAACATGTTTTTTGTCTTTCCTCCTGTAGAAAGTTCACCTGGACCTGTCATTCTGTCTGTCTCTACTTCCTGTCCTCTGTGTCTCTACTTCCTGTCCTCTCTGTTTCTACTTCCTGTCCTCTGTGTCTCTACTTCCTGTCCTCTCTGTTTCTACTTCCTGTCCTCTCTGT